CGTTACGGGTCTTGAGATGGGATTAAAATTCAATATAAGCCCATTACTTCAGATCAGTCCAACTAGTCGTAAGACTAAAGTGGTACTAGCAACATCAAATAAAGTTAAAAAATTGACAGGAAAAAATAAAAAAATTTTACAAGCTTTGGGTTATCAACTACAGCAGAATGCCTGAGAGTGATATTTTAGATATAGGTTCACGGTATGAAACGGATTCTAGAATTACGAAAACTGTACTGCTACTGTCAATTTTATAAAACTCTTTAAACGATGCTTTTGATATTTTGAATTCGAGAACATTGATTCCATGTGGCTTCAAAGGAGCTATCAATAATGATAATTATGAAAATATACTTGATTTTAGTAAAAAGTTCATTTATTATGTTCATAACTTAAAATTAAGTACCGGTCAACCAATTTTAAAATCACAAAGATCAACTGGCTTTTTAGGTTTCATAGTATGTTTTCATTCCCTTATTAACTTAAAAAAAAAATTCATTGATACAAATAATTTAAAATTCATACCGTCATATAAACTAAGTCAAGACCACCTTGAAATATTTTTCGGTAGTGTTAGGTCTCAGGGGGGTCACAACAATAATCCAACATCCATGCAATTTAGATCTGCTTACAAAAAATTATTAGTTCAAGCACAAATAAAAGACAGCGGTCTTGGAAATTGTATTTCTCTTTTAGATATCCCAATTCTAAACTGTTCTAGTGTATCTAAAAATCCAATCCAAGCCATAAATGATACAAATGCTTCCCTTTATAATGATATTGAATTAGATCCAGAGACTTTTACAGTTGAAACACATGGAACTCATCTCCATTTAAGTTCATTCTCCAAAGAAGTTTCTTTATACATAGCTGGTTTTGTTTCTCATAAGTTAGCTTCACAAATAAAATGTGATGTATGTACACAAGCTCTTTTTGGGACCAAAGAAAACTTTTTATTATCTTTAATTTCTTTAAAAGATAAAGGTGGTCTTACATACCCAAGTACTGATGTTATTGAAATATGTTTAGTTGTAGAAAAATTTATAAAATTACATTACCAAGAACATAAACCAAATAATTCATTATTTATTAAAAATAAAATTCTGGCTTCCTTCATTAATGACAAAAATATTTTTTCTTCAATAAATTATCATAATATAAAAAATGGACCTTTTTCTAATCATGTTATTCTTCTAATTAAGTCAGTAATTTCAACTTATTATGACATAAAAATTAAATATCTATGCAGAAAACAAAACGAAGTAGTTTCATTAAGAACTTTTTACAATAAATTAACCTTATTCAAAGGCCAATAGTTGTTCTTTGTTAATATTAATTAATGCTTTATTAATTGCTACAGCTTTAAATATTAAATATAAGTTTTACCTAAATGTTCATTTTATTAAAAAAAGTTATTCATTTTTATTTTTAGATATATTAAGGATAAATTAAAAGTACGGTGAAATGCATGTTAAAGAGAAGTATAAATTGAAATTTTCACATTTTCCCTAATTCTAATAGGTTGAGTTTACAATACAAGATGATTCTTTTATCATGAACCACTCATGATTTCAAAAAGTATTAATGTACATATTAATACATTAATATAATAATATTATGCAAATTATAACATAATTTTGTAATATTAATAAGTATAATTATTAATATGTGAACTTATTATATATTTAAGATTAGTTTTTTAAATTCAATTATTTTTTTTTTTTTACTATAATCTGTATTTTATTTTTTGTTACNAGTTATTCATTTTTATTTTTAGATATATTAAGGATAAATTAAAAGTACGGTGAAATGCATGTTAAAGAGAAGTATAAATTGAAATTTTCACATTTTCCCTAATTCTAATAGGTTGAGTTTACAATACAAGATGATTCTTTTATCATGAACCACTCATGATTTCAAAAAGTATTAATGTACATATTAATACATTAATATAATAATATTATGCAAATTATAACATAATTTTGTAATATTAATAAGTATAATTATTAATATGTGAACTTATTATATATTTAAGATTAGTTTTTTAAATTCAATTATTTTTTTTTTTTTACTATAATCTGTATTTTATTTTTTGTTACTTACTTTTATTTAAAATTAAATAAACGTTATTGCTTAATATATTTAATTTGTCTTTAATTTATTAATTATTATTATTATTTTAAAACAAAATAAATTGCAAATATTTTATAAGTGTTCCTACCAACCACATATTAATAAATAATGTTTTTCCTTCATGTGGTCATACTGGTTTTTGTCCTTTTAATTGCTTCACTTTTTGTACTGTGCAAGTATATGTTAGTTCATCTCTTTATATTATTACTCTATGAGGTCTACAGAACTCGTATTTATTTCATTATCCAATATTAGCCGTATCTCGTCGTTCACTATGCAGACTTGGTTTACTCCAAATAATAAAACGCTTGGACTCTGACCTGTCGACCTATGTATGGTATTATTAATTGAAAATTCAACTACATTTAATACTCGGTCCCACTTATTTGTAGATTCAGATAATTTTGCTAACATTGGTACAACAGATTTATTGACGATCTCTCCACCTGGCCGTTTGCTCTAGGTGTTCCTGCGGCAACTAACACTAAGTTTACAGATTCGTTCTCCAGAAATTCTTTAAATGCTGTGGACGTAAATGACGTACCACGATCACTGATTATTTTACGCGGTTTCGAATATGTTTGAAAATACATACGCAAATGTTTTATTACTTCTTCCGTTTTTGTACTACGACAACTGACAAGGATATAATTTTACGAATTTTGTAAATGCGTCAGTCACGACGAAAATAAACTTGTTTTTGTTTCCTGTTTTCTCCAGGGGACCCAGGTGGTCTACGTGTATTATTAAAAATGGTTTATCTACTTTCGGGATACAATTAAGAAAACCTTTTTTTCCACTGGGAACTGTGAACTCGATACATTTCAAGCAGTTATTTATATAATTACGTACTTTCGTTTTCATGTCCGGGAACCAATATACGCGTGAAATGTTTTCGACGACCTTAGATAAGCCAACATGCGCCATATCGTCGTGGCACGTTCGTATGATATTAGATTCCATTGACAGTGGTACATAAAATTTAACATTTTTGTTTTCTTTTCTGTACACCAGTCCATTGCGTAATTCAAATAGTTTAATATCCTTCGTTAATAACTCGTCCCTAATTTTACTAATGTTATCGTCTGTATTTTGCCTAAGGGCGAGCACCTGTTCAAATGAATTAGATTCTAAAACTAAGATAGCATGGCACCTACTAAATGCATCTACGTGCTGCATTCTTGTGTTCGGGCGGTGAAAAATGTTGAAATCATAGTTTTGCAAAAATAACGCCCACCTGGAAATTCGTGGGTTTATTTCTTTCTTACTTAGAGTGAGACGAAAACTATCACAATCAGTCATGACCTTGAACGTTATGCCGGCTAGATAAACATGGAAACGTTTGATAGCGTATACTACGGCGAGACATTCT